CACAAAGAAATGATACACCTTGTGTTACACCTGTTGTTATTACAGTAAGTAGCTGCTACTCTAGTTTTTTAAATCTAGATGCATATTCTAACCAGTAAAATCACATGAGAAAATAGCTGACAGAAGATTCACACTTACTGTGCTGGACTGCTGTCTGATGCTTAGTTCATCTGACTAGATTCCCCATAAATTTGTGTTTCAGTGAATTATTCAGTTTACGGGAGCATAACCATGATCCTTGGAGTGGATTTGGTAGTTTGATCTGCTTGAAAACATCTCTGAACTAAACAGTGGCACATTCTTCTTGTGTAGAGGAGTTTGTGGCAGACCTTCCTGACCTTTCAGTGATAGATAGCAGAGATGTTTAGCATCCACACAGCTTCTGCTATTATGGTTATTCATTCAGCACTCACACACCAGAATATCATAACTGAAGGAGCAACTTCTGCCCTACTCAGAGAAGTTTGTAATGTATGACAACTCACAATTCATATTGCATCTTTCTTTTTCAAATCCTGATGTGACCCAAGTAACTTTACTCATGGCAAACTCAAAAATGTCTCTTTCCCTCTTGTTTTTCTATTATAGAACTTGTTTTATGTAATGAGTGCATTGATAGAAAAAAAAATGAAGCTAGAAACTTAAAACATGTACCCTGCTAAAGCAACAAGCCCTGAAAGATTCTTTCCATGGGTCAGCTCTGTACTTTACCGAAGGGGAGTGGTAGCCATAATTTTCCCAAATTTTGCCCGTTGGAGTGCCAGAGCCAAGCAGGAGTTTGTTTTCAGCAACTTTACAGGCCAAAATCAGATAATATGAGAACTCAGTTGCATATTTCTGGACACTTTTGGGATGGGAAGAATACAGCAAAGAAAGAGGAAAGTTGAGAATTTCCTCAACAGAATCTTCTGAGATGCTCTAGTGATTTGGGAGAGTAGTTGTACTAAAAGTAATTTAAAAAGTTGCTTGGGCAGTTTTGAAAGCTAATCCTTATTTACTGGAGAGAAAAAAGTTAATTTTTCTAAAATCAGTTGTGAAATATAGTAACTTCCAGTGCAATTATAAGTGGGCAGAATCTGCATGAACGAGTACTCTTATTTTCTTCCGTGTTGCTGCTGCGCAGTTTATAAGAGCGAATTCCTGCTATGTGTCACTGAAAATTCCAGTTTTCTGAGTAAAAGGTAGTATTCTACCACAGTTATACCCTTGTCCTACACCTTATTAGTAGGTGCTGGTCAGATATTGACATACCAACTTGGTGTTGTATGTTAAGTTTGTACTGACTTCAATAGGAGACTTTGCTGCTACTTGAGCTGATTACCATTGGAATAAAAATTTTAAACTTCACCCAGATTTGTTTCTTTTCTGATGCAAATTTGACTACTTTCTTATCTTCGACTATTTTCTCATCTTTAAGCACCTGCTTAAATCTTATCCAAGTCAAAGTTTCCCTCAGCCTGCAGAAAGGGCCCTGCTGGAAAGCAGAGCTGTGGAAAGGGACTTGGGGGTCCTGGTTGATGGCAAGTTGAATCTGAGTCAGCAGTGCCCTGGCAGCCAGGAGGGCCAACCCTGTCCTGAGGGCATCAGGCAAAGCATCACCAGCCGGTCGAGGGAGGGGATTGTCCGGCTCTGCTCTGACCTGGGGCAGCTCACCTTGAATATTGTGTGCAGTTTGGGCACCACAATGTAAGAAAGATATGAAGCTGTTAGAGAGTGTGCAAAGGAGGCAACGAGGATGGTGAAGGGTTTGGAGGGGAAGCTTTATGAGAAGTGACTGAGGGCACTTGGTCTGTTCAGCTGGAGAAAAGGACACTGAAAGGAAAACTCATTGCAGTTACAACTTCCTTGTGAGGGAAGAGGAGGGGCAGGCACTGATCTCTGCTCTGTGGTGAGCAGTGACAGAACCCCAGGGAATGGCCTGAAACTGTGTCAGGGGAGGTTTAGGTTGGATATTAGAAAAAGGTTCTTCCCCTAGAGGGTGGTTGGGCTCCCCAGGGCAGTAGTCACAGCACCAAGGCTGACAGAGTTCAAGAAGTGTTTGGACAATACTCTCAGGCACATGGTGTCAGTCTTGGGGTGTCTTGTGCAGGACCTGGAGTTGTACTTGACAATCCTGATGGGTCCCTTCCAACTCGACATATTCTGTGATAGACCCCCACAGACCCCCACCTGTCTACAACTTCCTTTCAGGTAGTAGTAGAGAACAAATAAGTTCTCCCCAAGCCTCCTTTTCTCATAGTTTTTTAAGCACTTTTGGAATACCCTCAACATTCTGTTCTCCAAACACCAATCTTGATCCATTATGAGTGTTAATGTGATGTCTTCAGTCCCTGTCACTAATGAATTAAAAAAAAAAAAAATCTACCAACAAACCAACAAAAGCAAAAAAAAACACGATAAAAGAGAACACAAAGTAATCTTACCAACAAAAAAATTAAATTATTTTTCTACAACACACGTAAACTTACACTGCATCAAGTGGTTAAAGAAGGGTTGGCTCCTTAATTGTTTTCAGAGTAAGCACATGGCACAAAGCATCCAGTGGCTCCACCACTCCCCCCTGAAGAGAGGTCTTTGTCTCTCGGTCTGTTGACGCTGGGGGTTTTTTTCCCTCCTCAAAGTATTCAAGCGTTGTTTATTTTCTCAGCCCCTGGAGCACAGCTCGCTTTCAGGCAAGACAATGCTCTGAAGGGCGCAGCAAGCAAGCCCTTCTCCATCGCGGGCGGGCAGACGATCCCTCAGGGAGCCTCCTCCTGCCTCCCGGCGCTCCCGGCACCGGGAGCCACCGATTCCCTCCGTCCATCCCGCCCGCTGCGCTCTGCCACGAGGGGTCACCAGAGGAACCCGCATCACCACGGAGGGACAGGAAAGTAAAAACATCGACCACCCCTTCCCCCCCCCCACCACCGGCAAAAAAAACCCTAAAACAAACAAACAAAAAACCCCTCACCCCAAAACAAAACAGGAAAAAACCCCAAACCATCCAACCAACCAAACCAAAACAAAACAAAAACACACGCACAAAACCCCCAAAACACACACACGCACACACACACAAAAAGAAATTAGCACAAACCGACACCACCGTGCCTGACACGTTTTTCCTCTTTCCTGGCTCTCCACTAGGTGACAGCAGCGAAAGCGGAGTGAAGCATCCCGTAATGGACTTCTGGAGAAAACTATTTTATCCTTTTTGCTAAACCCTCAGAGAGTAATGCAGTCAAGAAACTCGTATTATTGGCTGTTTTCCTGGAAATTACAGAGCCCTTTGCTTTTAGGCTTCCCGCCTGCAGGCCTCAATAATTTACAAAAGTACGTCTCTGCATTGTATGCACTTAAAGCAAATGTACTTGGGCTGGAAAAAAGTCAAGTATTGTTGGTTTAATGCAAGTAGTTACTTCATAATGTCAGCGATTAGTCTTGTAAAATACTCCCAAGTTCTTACTTTCATAAGCTGTATAGGCCTGATCTTTCAGACAAGAACCTCCAGCTACACTGAAACTGCAGCAAGGCAGGAGATTGAGTTCCCCCGTATATTTACACCAATGTCCAATTTTCTAGCAGGGATACTAATTTTATGCATGTGCATTTAAATGCTGCTACTCTTTTGCTGTTGGCTGCTCACCAGATTAAAGCAGTAAGCTTTTTTATCATGAATCTTTGTGATAACCAGATAAACCAGTTGTGGTACAAGCTAGATTAGGGTCCAAGTAGTTACAGCACAAACAGGAATTCAAACATGGAGCAGATGAGAAGGAAGGAATTGAATTCACTTATCTGAAGACAAATCCATCTTGACATGAGTTAAAGCACTGTAAACCTGCTATAAGGAGGGCACATTCTAGAATTCAGAGGGGACAGTACAAACCCTTTATCTTAGTCCTATTCCTGGCCTAATCCAGAGTGGGTTTTTTTGTGGGACAACAAGTAGAACTGGTATAACCCCAGCTTCCGTGCATCTGTGAGATTCTCTTGTGCGAGTAAGGGAAATCCCTTCATAGCTTCTTAGATACCAAATACAGAGGTATAAAGGGTTTGCAGCACCCAGAGTATTTTTCAGAAAGGAAATAATTATTTGAAGTTCTTATCTCCTTGTTCACTCACTTTTTATTTTGTCATTTTATCTCATGTTTTCATAATCCTGAATTATTCTGATGTGTATGAACTTAATTGTCTGTGTGCCCTTAACATTTAACTTTGTTTCTTTTATTTACAAACATAGCTTTTCACAGCCTGGCTCTATAACTTTAATATTTTTAAAGTGTATTGTAATTCAAGTTTATAGTCTAGTACTTCACCAATGTTCTTCCAGTTTTTGATGTTACAGTAAAAAAATGTTGTCACTCCATCTTTTGGAATAGCAGAGATGCTACACATAGAAAAAAGGTCACAGGGATGCAGAAACTCTGTCTCAGGTTTCAGGGAATTCTTTTCATAGAAACTCAGTGATCTATTTTTTGTTTTTCTTCTCTGAAAAAGTGTAAGAAAACATTTATGCTACCTTTCTACTAAGTGCTGCATCATTGCAATAATGCATTCAGTCACTAAGTAGGATGTTAGTTTTTGTTTTATAATTCTATGTGATATCTTAAATGATTCTTTATACTACTTTTCTATATTCTAAAAATAGGTATAATAAAAAGATGAAGAGGGTGTTTAATAGAACAAATAGTCAGCTAGTTGTCTGTACATAGAATATGTAACATACCACACATAATGATCTAAATGACTTGTCCAAAGAAAGCACTAACAAAAGTAGAATATTTATAGTTTTCTATTTAAATTATACCTGTAAGGAGACATTCAGCCATGTTCAGAGTATTTGTCTCTTTTCAGGATCAATTCCTTATGCTGCATAGGAATTTTCTAAAGTAGTGTTGTCAAACAAATTGCATTTGTGACCAAAATAAAAAAAGGAATTCAAATAAAACAGGGTAGGGGAATACTTTAATAAAAATATTTATTGGAAAAAAAATCCCCATCAGGATCATTTGGCTGTACTAAGTAAGTAAAACACTGAGTGTGACTATGGTAATTAGGATGCAAACAGCGAGTACCATGAGCAGGATGATTCGGCAATATTTCAAATGCTTTTTTTCTCTCTCTTTCTTTTTTAACAAGGTATCATACCCAGGAGTATAAATATCCCCCATCCAGAACTGTAGATCATTAGGATTTTCCTAGAAGAAAAATCAGAAAATAAACTCAGTTTCTCTCTGTTGCACATAAAGTCATTAGAACATACCCAGAAGTATTTTGGCTATCATCACATACTGATTAATGAATTTAAGACATCACAGCACATATGTAAGACACTTTCACTTGAACGTAGGTTGTGCTACTTGCCAGATGCTGCAAATGTTCCACTGGGGAAAATTAAAACCACACTTCTCAGCCAGGAACCAAATGTAGGACACCAGCTATTGAAATGTGATCAAAAAACCTAGAACAGACCACGTTGTCTTCTCAGGAAGAGATGTCGTTGTATAAACACAGATCTCACTCTCTTTCCCAAAAGTGGAACAGCAGAAAAAAAAGCTTACAAAAGTAATCCTAAAAGTGATTTGTGCCAACCCACAGGCAGGAAGGATCCTGCATAGTGTGGATGAGGCTCAGAAAATGTATGTAATTTGATAACAGAATTTTGCTACGAACAGTTATTAAAGTGACTGTATAGTATTTAAGCACTGTATTTATAGCTCTTCCCTATATAAACAGGGAAGCTGAGTTGCATAGTGTTGTGGTTTAAGACTTTCTTTAAGTCAGAGATCGTGTTCTGCAGAGCTGAAATTCCTGGAGTCTCACCAGATGCGCAGACTTCCTTTCCTGATCAGACTCACGTTGGTGTCATGTCTGTACCAAAAAAATACCTCCATATTTACTTCTGGAATTCCACCAAAAGGACCAAGTGGGCTGAACAGGCCTCACAGTGGTTCATGCATGCACGACACAGCCCACAGCAATTCACCTTGCTCCAGCTCAGCTCAGCAGTGCATTACCTTTATGTGGCTGGCCAAGTTAGAGTGCAGCGAGTGTCTGTCATAGTCCTGCACGGTCCAGGAAGGGGTCTTTTTCTTCTCCTCCCAGTCGTCATCCACCTGGATATCACTATACAACGGGTTTCTTTTGATGGTGGATTTCAGGGTGATGGGTGTAATGTGTTTCCCCAGGGCTTTGTCTATCATTTCTTGGCTGACCCTGTTCAAGTCTAAGCCTGGCAGCTCAGTGACAGTTCTTTTTTCTCTCTGTAAGGCACAAGTTAGATCAGAAGCTGCCTTTATCTACAATGCAGCCCCCCTTGCAGAATTAGCATTTATAATACAGCAGAATCCTTTTTAAAATTACACATGCAACAATTTTGCTCATTCTGGCAAACATATATAGTGCAGTAAAGGAGACCAACTGTTCACTTCGTGCAGATTTTTTCCTTCTGGGGAACGCAGGTGGGTACAACATTAAGTTCTTTTGCAAATGTGAACTGACATAATGCCTGCTGAAAGAAAGCTTCTGATTTAGCAAAACAGTGCTGTGGAGCACTACAGTACAAGACGTAGTTCTGATGAAAGCCATGGGTGTATGATGCAGAAGCAGAGCTGCAAGGACAAAGCAGAATGAAACACGGGGGTAGCAGCGTATAAATGACAGCCTCGAATGGCATTGCACCTCTGGCAGCAGAGGTGTGATTCACAGTTCTGTTCACACTGTTGAATGCTAGACCTGTATTAGGATGTCAGAGGCTTCTTATTCAACTGAAAGTCCTTTTTTCGGGCACTGTCAGAACTCACAGGTAATTAAATATCTGAGCAGCCTCCCAGCCACAAAAAGTTGTTAAATCAGACCTTTTAGAACATGTGGGTGACAAGGGAGCAGGATGAACAACTCTGGTGGGATCACATTTTTTGAGAACTTGCAAGCTGCTTCTTAAAACAGCATTAAGAACATCTTTATGGGTCAGTAAAATAGTAGCTACCATATTTTTCAATCTGTAATTGCATAGAGGAATGCAATCAGACCCTCCAGCTCAGACTGTTCAACATTTTGGTTCACCACAACCTTCTGTCCACGAGACTTTGAATTAACCTGTCACTGATCTGGGGTTCCATCATGCATCAGCTTCCTGAGAGACCTGCTCCTGGCAGAGCCCTTGCCCTACACTAACACCCCTCCCATCTCTCGGGGCTGCTTCTACAGAATCTCCACAGTGCAAATTCACCCTTCCTCGTTAGCGACGCTACTTCTGCATCAGCACCTTTGTCCTTACAAACTCCATGTTGAGACAAGGGGAGCCTTGGCCTGACCCAGTGGCCCTGTGTCAGGGGTACTGAGCAGGGGGCAGTCCCCAGCCCTCTCCCACTCTCAGAAATCACAAAGGTCTGGGCAACGCCTGCTGCAAGACTCAGATGAGGTAAGTGCACATAATAAACAACCAATGAGGAAGCTGGGTCCTGAGAAACTTACTTCCATGGAAGGATGTCTTTCCCAGAGTATTTCACTTTTATGGAGATCTCCAGCTGTGAAAGTACAACAGGCTTGACTCCAGCCACAAAAGGGCTAGAGGCATGTCCTGCTTCTCCTTCCACCTCTCTGGTGGGAGCCCAGGGAATCTGACCTCCTGCACACTGGCTCTGGAAGCTACTCGGATCCCACATCAGTCAGTGCAGGTCCCTGAGATGATAGCAAACTGCTGGCTTCTTCTGCTTGAGTAATTTTGTGCCCCCTTTTGCGCTGGTGAGTCCACTTTCAGTGGAAGTGAGCCACTGCATGTCATCATCTACTTAATGACTGCAGTGTCTGTACATCCATAGACACATCTGGGGTGTCTGGGGCAGGCAGGTGAAGAAGGATCTGTGAGGAATGGTTTCCTTCAGAAAGTGAAGGTGGAGAAAACAAAACAACAGACTTTTTCTAAGAAACCCCGGGAGGAAGCATCATGCTGGCATTCATATCACTAAATCCTGCAGAAGTGACTAAGCTTGCTTCCCATCAATAATTGCCATTAGTAGGCGGGTGGATCCTCAGTGACCTCCTGTCCCTCTGTTAGTTCATAATTTCCACATGTTGTTCCTTAGCCTCCACATATCCCTTGACAATACTGCTCTTTGCATTGCAGTTACAGCTGGCACTGAAGCCCTCTGGGCTGTACTGGCCAGATTTCAAGCTGAGCTGGTGTTTTTTAACTGCCTTTTCTTTCTGACTGCATTTTATTTTATTTATTTTATTTCTTATTTAAAATTTGTCATTGACCTTAATGATTCTTCCCTCAGGCTTGCTAGATAGTTGAACTTGGAGAACATTTTGTCGAAGAACGCGAACTGTGTCACCAGGGGATGTTTAGTCTCCCTAGGCTAAAATATTGTGAAAAGAATGTGACTTGACAGTAATTTCTAAAGCTGTTTTAAATAAAATTCTCTTCCAAACTTGGAAGAGATGGCATGATGCAAATTTTTTTCATAAAGAGAGGGCTTTGTGGCAAAACTTTTTGCCCCTTCTGTTTGGAGTACCTTTCTTTGCATAGGCATGAGAATAGAAGAATGTGGTAGTTTGGAGCAGAGGTAGAGAGGAAATAGACTGGGACAGGGAACAGGGTTTTACCATGGGAACTGGACTGGAATTTAGGATAGGATATAGTTTGCAGAAGTTTTAGAGAACAGACATTAAAGTGACAGGCTAATCAGGAGAATACATTAGAGTACAGGCAGATGCTTGGTTGTAAAACTTATGCAGTAAATATGTCCTAGAGACTGGTTAGGGAAAAGAAAGGACAGAAACCTGAAGGACATAAAAAAAACTTTTAGGTCTAAGAAACCATACAGAAAATTATGAAGAAGATTGCATTAAACATATGCATGTATAGAAGCAGAGAAACATAAGATTAGATAATAAAAACATGCTTGCTAGTCTTGATTCTTGCAAAAACTCCTTTTTATTTTCTGCTAAGATATAAAACATGTCCCAACCATTGTCACAGACTTCTATGTTTTGATTCTGATTCATGAAGCAAATGTTCAAAGAAAGTATTGTAAATTTAGGTATTTGTTACAGAGTTCATATAATATACACTGACTCTAAGAAGTCAGTATGAATTAGGGTGGAACAGAACAAATCAGAGGCAATTTATGTTGTTATTTACTGAATGGAAGGAGGCAACAGCAAATATTCAAGCACTAACTAGGAAGAACACTGAGAAACTATAGATTAAATGAGTTGACAAAATACACATTTAACAAGATGAAAAATGCTCCCCTCTGCAAACACATAACTGTGTTTGATCTACATATAGCTCATGAGCAAGAAAGCTATTATGGTTTATAACTTGTGTTTCACTGAGAACAGTTTGTCCCTTTTTGACAGACTCAGAGAGCTGGCATGTACAAAACTAGGATTCTGTAAAAAGCCCAAAGATCAATAGAGAGTCAGTGTTAGTTGATTACTGAACCGACATGTGCTTGCTCCGCATTTTTTTCTTGCTGATTATTTCATAATGTGAATTAAGCATGTAGATGCTTTACAATACATATAATTAAAATTTTAATGTAACCTTTGTTACTAGGAAATATTTTAATCTTGTTTTTTTCTTGACTTTATCCTCTCATTCCCTCTGCTGTTGTTGTTAGCATTGAAACAACCTAAGAACCTAACCACTCTTTCTTCAGCCTGTGATATGAGACATCACCCACCAAAACCAGGACATCAACAGTGAAGGCTAGGCCTTGGTTTCAGGCCTACCTACCTGAAAGAAGAGAACAAAGAGACACTCAAAAAATAAAGGAAATTTACTTCCTGGAATTCAAATTTTTCTTTCCTTGCCCACCAAAGAGAATCAGTTCCTCTTGTTTGGTGGCCAGCCCTGGTCTCCAGCTGATATTGGGAAAGATGCTCAATGAAAGAGAGAAATGCTGTTGATGGGCAGCTATACCTAGAAGTTTTAACCTAGGGAGGCTAAAGAAACTTATTGCCACTAGATATTGCAATATTTGTTTTGTAACAGCCTCCTCAATCCTAGTGAAGGTGGGTTGCAGGGTGATTATTATATTTGATAGCAATTTGTTAAATACTATAACCCTCTGTTGTGCAAAAGACTTGTAACACATCCTGGAGGAATCTCCTAGCACTTGGAAGGGCATTTTTCTGCTTTAAAGACCTACTTTGAAGGCAGAAAAAGATCTGAAAGACAAAAAGTTTCTAGGGTGTAACCAAGCATCCCTGTGATAGTTGTAACAACTGCATAGGTGTTGCTAGACATCTGGACCATAAAAAAAGCTTACCTATTATGATGAATAATTATTAGCACTTTGGAATGTCTTCAACAAATCTGATCTCATAGAGGATGCTATGGAAAAGTGATTGGGTAGGCAAGGAGTAACCAGGTGTAGGTAAGGAGATATGAAAGACAGTAAGGCAGTGAGTTCACATAAGGATTCATGAGAATGCAGTCCAGAGGAGGGCTGTGAAGATGATCAGAGGGCTGGAGCACTTCTCCTATGAAAACAGGTTGAGAGAGCTGGGGTTGTTCAGCATGAAGAAGAGAAGGCTACAGGGAGATCATGTAGCAGCCTTCCAGTACCTACAGGGGGCTGACAAGAAAGCTGGAGAGAGACTTTTTACAATGATAGGACAAGGGGAAATGGCTTTAAGCTGAAAGAGGACAGGTTTAGATTAGATATGAGGAAGAAATTCTTCCCTCTGAGGATGATGAGACACTGGCACAGGTTGCCCAGAGAAGCTGTGGATGCCTCATCCCTGGAAGTGTTCAAGGCCGGGCTGGATGAGGCTTTGAAGCCACCTGTTTTAGTGGAAGATGTCCCTGCCCATGGCAGGGGGGTTGGAACTAGATGATCTTTAAGGTCCCTTCCAAGTCAAACCATTCTATAATTCTATGATTCTAGGAATGAAAGTTTTCCCATAGAAGGAAATGAAGGGATCTGGATTGTTTGTCAGAGTTATTAAGGCAGCCTCATGTACTACAAAGCAACCTGGGAAGTCACCTGACATGAATAGGAAAGAGATCAGTAGATGATTGTAACCACTTAAGCCAGTGTGACAGGGATATTTAGAGAAAAGTAGGCATTCATATGGACTATTTTAATTGTGCACCATTGGGACCGCTTCTATCCTTATAATGAATTGTTTCCTTTAAAAAATGTGTTTTATCTGTCGCTGGTAATGGAGTTCTGCAGGGTTGTGAGTGCATTACATAAAAACTTTTGTACAGTCTCAGACCAAAGCTCCTGCCAACCTTGCAGCTGGCTCTGATAGTGGCCAGTTGCAGATGTCTGGGGAAGAATAAGGGAGAGAGTGGAAATACATAACGCACACATGAGCCAGAGGACAAAGAAGTGACTCTAACCTATAGATAAAAAAAAACCCCTAACTTATGGATAAAAAAAAAAGTCTCTTGTGCTGGTACAGTGAGATACAAGCAAAGGCAGGACACAGGCATTAAGTGAGATGTAATACCTGCAGGCCAAAAGAGCACCGTGCCAAGAAGTAGCATGCTGCTCAAAGACTAAGTGCTCTGTGCTGTTTTCCAAAAATAGGGGAAAAAGGGAAATACAAGCAAGAAAGAGAAGTCTGAGAATTGCAGAAAATTACCAGGTTAGGTTGACTAAAGGGTACACATGCAACCTGGCTATCAGAAACAGATATAGGGGATTATCTGGTGTACACTGTGCATTAAAACATATAATGGAGCAGAGAGTCCACTGAGACTGCAAATTTTCAGGGTGATCAGAATGTGGTCAGCAGCCATCCATTTGCAAGAGTAAGTCTGTGCTTTTTATGCTGCTTTTCACAAGGAAGGGCCAAGATTCCTGGATTTCTTCATGGTTTGGTTTAGTCAAAGTAGTCTATGAAAATACATACTAAGCAGGGAAGCTGTTTAATTTGCCTGATATCAAAGAGGAAAGTGCAGAGAAAAAGCAGCAGCTTTTTGTCTTTACATCAAAATACTTTTTATAATAGAAACAAATTTTAAAACTTATAGGTGAAGAGAATACATAGGCACTTAAGTGCATTTGAATTTAAGGGATCTCATAATAAAGGTCTGGAAGAGGACAAACACACCACTGAGAAGTCACTTTGCACAGGGAGTCCTGAGTAGCATTAGTTTCTTAAAAGAAAATTAGCTTTTGAAGGAAGAATTTGGGCTACTCTCAAGGTTTAATGACTTTGGGAATCTTTAGATCATGCACATATGTTCTGAAATTAATTCTCCCTCCTCCACCCCCCTCCCCTTTTTCCGTTTCTGAATTAACTAACCCTTAACCTCATTGCTCTCTCATCTTAAAGCAAAATATGTTATTCCTGTGCCGTTAGTTCTCCACTGTGCCATCGTGTTTATTCTAGGGTCTGGAACTCATCAGTACTTTTCCCTTTATTTGATTGTCAGCAAAAGGGGGGAAAGGAGGCAAGCCCTTAAGGCAGAAAGAATAAGGCACAATGATTTTTATCTAAGCACCTTGAATTCACTAGTGACTACACTTAAAAAAAGTATAGGTTGTGTCCTAGGTTTAACATTCATAAAACATACCACATTGCAAACTCCGTTTCTGGAGGCATGGTGAGTACAGACATTTCCTTTGAAACAGCCATCCCGGGGCTGGGAACAGAGTTCCAGGAAAACCTTCTCGCTGGTGGCAAAGAGCAGAGCACAAGTCAAAAAGCACAGGGCTCCCCACACATTTTTAGTCCTCCCGCAGCTCTGCAGCCCTTGGCTCGGTGACAGTGCGTTCTGTTTGACAACAATGGGAAGAAGGATCCCTGCTGCGGAGGAGGCTCTGTGTGTGGCTGCCTCTATCCTGCACAAGAGAGGGGCTTGGAGGGAAAGGGGGGTGAGGAGGGGGGGGAGTGTGGCCAGCATTGCACCATACCCTATTGTTTGGAATCCTTCAGGCTCCGTCCCTCGGTTGGGGCTGTTTGCATGGGAGACTACGGGCGACCGTGTGTTCCCCCGCCCCGCCTCTCCCTGGGGAGTCGCCAACAAAGATTATACAACACGAGCAGAGATGGCTGGAGGCACTGGAGTAGGCAGAGGGAAGGGTGTCTGGGGTGGGGAAGAAGCTAGGGAAAGTAAAGCGGGCGGCAGGAGCGGGAGGACTTTTGCAAGGAGGACTAGAACGGACTCCGAGAGGGAGCAAAGGAGTTTGCGGAGCTGATGGGGAGAAACGTCTAAGAGGGGAGAAGTGCAACAGGAAGTAGCTGTGGGAGACTTTAAGCATCTTTCTCATCCCTTCCCCCTGGTTCACGGTTTTTTCGCTCCTACTCCTCATTCCCCTGGGGAATTTGACCGCCACCCTAAGCATCCTCAGGATGCAGACCCTTCTCCACCCCCCCACCCCCAACCACTTATGTATGTCTCCATCTCTTGACAAGAAACAGACCTTGGAGCTTTTGCTCATGCTAGGGGTGGGGAAAGGCATGGGGCTCCCCGAGCAGCAGGAAAGGAGCTCTGTGGAGCAGCGAGTGGGGCCCAGAGGGGTGTGAGCTGATGCAGCTGTAGTGCTGCTGATCCAGACATGAACTTCTCCTCTGCCAGCTCCAGGGCCTCTGCTAGGCAATGCACATTTACATTTTTACCAAGAAATTGCTGCTACCTCTATATAATAACATAGATTAATGCAGTCAGTGTGTTTCACACTTTCAACAGCTGTCTTTCAGTATAAGGGGAAGGTCAAAGCATAATGAGAAAAACAAGGCAAAATAAAAAGGAGGCTATGGTGAACATATATAAATTTGGAGCAAGAATCTCTAATGCTCTCTGTAATGTGCCTTTTCATCCAGTTGGAGGGATAAGGATATGACCTGACTTTCAATTTGAAGTCTGTTTTTTTTCTTGCTTCTTCAGAGAGCGCATTCCATGCACTCTTTTAGTACAATTAATTGGTATTTGACTTCAGTAGACTTTTTGGGAAATTCTATAAAAATGTTATAGAGTAGTAGAAAGCCTAATGTACTGAAATGAAGTCAGTGGTTCCCCTCCTGAAGAGAGTAACTCTTCTCATGGACCCTGATCCCCACTGCAGTCAATGGGAAAACTTACAGGGATAATAGTGATGCAGATTAAGAGATGCAGGAAGCTGAAACAACAGCTGATGTCTCAAACTCACAACATTTGTGTCCTGATCCCTAAAACAAGGTAGAAAAATCAGGAAAAATGGCAGCCTCTTTTAGACCTTACCTGTAAATAGATTCTGTTGTGCCACCGCTGCACTCCAGGTAGAGCTGCATCTGGCAATTTTGCCCAGTTGGCTTGCAGACAGGTAGAGCTTTTCTCTAAAGACTTCACCTCCAGTTGCAGGAATTTATCAGGATGGTTGTTGTTTGGCAAAACAGAGAGGTCCATGTTTCTGTGCTGTATAGTAACAACGAAAACAGCCTCACCCCAGCTTCTGCTTCCTGGCTGTGCATGCTCTTTCTATTATTAATGACGTGAAGAAGGATACGACAGTTTCCTGAAACTGTATCTGACCCCTGTTTGGTGTCAGGCTCACTTATATCATCTACCAATGATAAAAGATTGTTTAGAAGTGGCAGAGCAGACAGGACAAGTTTCTTTAAGTGCCTAGCTTAAGCTTTCAGGTTCAGGGGTTTTTTTTGATAGATACATATGTGTTCATTAAAACTAACAGAGTACCAGTGAGGAGATGCATAGGACACTTAAATGCATACCAGCACTTCCTCAAGTGATCTGCCAAAAATGCCAAGCCTACAATACTTCAAAGTAAGCTTTTTTTTCCCCCCCAGAAAATTAAAAGCAGCTCCCAGTCCAAAGCAAGTCTTCCTTTTCTGTGGCAGTACCAAGAGGCTCCCTTGTGCTGCATGGGTTGGTACCATTTACCACAACAGCTATAATGTGCACTTTTTTAAGTTCAGGGATTTCTTTCACAGCAAATTCTTCTTGACCCTGGGAAATATTAGATTGTTTCAAGTAATTGATAACAGAAGTTTTCAGGGAATTGATTCTACTCCTGTTCAAGTGACTGGAAAAAACTGTTACTGACTTAAATGGTGTAGCCTCAGCCCCTTCACTTCTATTATTTTATTCTGAGATTTGATATTTTCATCATCATTTTATGAGTCTTAAGTCCTTTTGACTTTCAGCTAATGAAATTCCCCTTCTCATTATGGCTACTATGTACAACTAGAAAAAGTAGCCTTCTCCTTTTTATTTTAACCTTTTCTTGAGACCTTTGTGTTTCTCTAGGATACTTTTCATTTTTGATGACACTGCTGCAGAGGATAGAGGATGTTTTGGATCAAACTTGTGCTGAGAATTGGGGCATCACAAAACTTTTAGTCTGTTACTTGGACCAGAGAATCAAACAAATCTATTTTCTGCACAGAAAATTGCTGGGATATAAAAAGAAAATAAAAATAAGAAAATATTTTTAAAATCCTAATGTAATAAATGAATACTTTGATATATATATATATATATATATATATGTTAAAATTCTTATCTACTTCAAAAACTCATGGTTTTTCCTTGCATGTACTTATTGGAGATTATTTTACGGCATATCCACTTAAAATTATAATTCTGGCACCTTTCAAGTAGATGCTCAAGTAAGTACCTGTGAGCAGCCACAAAAGAGACAGTACTGAGTGTGTTTCTAAGTGGATGTGCATGCTTCTGGGGAACCTGCTGCTACATTTTCATCTATGTCTCCCAGTGTAATGAACCCCAAAACACTAATACACCTTGCCAGTGTACTCTAGGGGATTACCATGAAGCTGCTGTTTTAGACTTGCCATGACATGTAGTTCTCACTTTTTCCCTGTCCAGACAGTAATAATTTGTGTTGTAAAATAGGTGGGTATATATACAACCATGACTCCTTTCTTTAACATAGATAGGCTTTCCAGAATCTCTCTAAACACAAGATTTTTCTGTGCTACTGTAGCATATAAGGTAGGTCTGCGACTGTCTGAATTTACATACCAACACTACTTTGCTTGATTAGACATGACACGAGAAGATAAAAAACACCTTATTAGGTCAGACCCCTCCTCCCCAGGATCTATCATAGTGTTTGAAAGGGAAAGAACCGATGATGTTTAGGGAGACAGTGTACACCTGGCTACTTTCTGCAGTTCATTCTCCTCTTACTCCTCAGAAGCCACACCATTTTTTTGTGCTAAAGTGTCTCTCCCCAGGCCTTTTATTATCTATTTATAAACTCTTGGTCCATAAATTGCTTTTCAAATCTTCTAATACTACCTCCTCTAGAGGCAAGCTTCAGAACCTCATGACCATCTGCTTAAAGTGCTTTTACATCTTTTAAACTAATTTACATACTAGTCATAGTGAGGATGCCCTCTTTGCAGTACTGCAGGATTTGAAGAAGAGCTCTCCATGCAGATTACCCATTACCTTCAGAATTTTTTAAACCTCGACTATGTTTATCTTAGTCTCTTCCTTTCCAGTCTGAAGTATCAGCTTTTTCAGTCTCATCTGGTAAGCCACCTAGTCTATTCCCTTGCTCATTCCATTTTCAATGTGTTATGCTGTAATTCCACTACATTGTTCATGAGAACACAGCAACCATAAATGAATGCAATGCTCAAGTTGTTCCAAAACAGTTACAAAAATGGGAAAAATTATGTCTTCTTACAACATGCAACAGTTTTTGGTGCTTTTTTCCCTGGTATTCTCATAGAGCTAATAACTTCAGACCACAGTAACAAATGATACCACAATTTTTCTCCACCTCTATGACTGCCAGTTGCAAGTTCAGTATCTTGTAGGAATAGTTTAGGCTATTTTCCCTAGCTGTAATACTTGACATTTTCCTACATCAAAATTTATCCGTCAATGTCTTGTCTAACTGCTCACTTCTGTGAGTTTCTTCCCAAGTGAAGCAGCAGTCAGTTAACCAGAAGAGCTTAATGTCACCTGAAGAGCTGGAGAACTCAGTTTTCTCTCTCTTTCTCAAGCCATGGATGAAAATGTCAAAAAACCTAAACCCTGCATTATTCCTTGGGGAATTATACTGCTGACTTCTCTTGTTATTGTTTACTTTGGCTGAACACCAGGTATCTACTGGGCCTGCGCCCAGTCCCTCCAGGGGGAAGGTGAGGGGGTAAGTGGGGAAAAGAAGGGGAAAAAACCCCTACAGAATTGAAGCTACTAAGAAAGGGCGTTTATATTTACACAAAGAGGGAAGATGTTATAAACAGTATATAAACAGAATTAAAAATAAAGATACTTCCCCACAATCAACGCTCTTCTCCCCCAAAGGAACTGCCCGACTGCTCCACTCAGCTACCTGGAAGAGAAGAGAGCCCTTACTTCCTTCCCATCTTTTATATCTGAGCTGATGTAACATAGTATGGAATATCTTATTGGTAAAATATACATCGGGTGATCTATCCTAGTTCCGTTTCCCTCTCAGAGAGGGTAACAAACCCATTACAATCTCCACCCCTTATTCCACACTATTTTATGTCACACTCATATCCCATAGTCACCTATATCCCACGCTTATGCAGGCCTCGTCTTCTAAGGTTGTCTCATCGTTGAGCACCAGCATCAGCTTAGTTCGGGTCTTCCTCGTCTGGTAACTTTCCCTGCAACATACAAGTCAGAATACGAATTACTTTTTCCCCAAGGTTAAATCTCCTTGAGGCACACACTGGGTTTCCCCATCTTCTCTCATTATCCACCAGGTGGGTGTATCTGGGTCCTTGAGCAAAGACAATCTCATGAATCGGTTTGCCTTTGCTCAAGGGAGGGTTAACCCAAACTGCTTTACCTAACATACCTCTCGAGTGAATTACTGGGACTTTGTCTCCATCCACAGTGTGAGGGGACTCTGTTTGAGCAGGGCCAGCTCGATTGACGGAGCCTCTAGTGTTGACTAGCCACATAGCCTTTTCTAGGTGCTGATCCCAATTCTTGAAAGTTCCCCCACCCATTGCCTTCAGAGTAGTTTTCAGCAATCTGCTACACCGGTCAACTTTTCCAGTGGCTGGTGCATGATATGGGATGTGATACACCCACTCAATGCCATGTTCCCTTGCCCAAGTAGTAACTAAACTCTTTTTGAACTGAGCCCCATTGTCTGACTCAATTCGCTCTGGGGTCCCGTGTCGCCACAGTACTTGCTTTTCAAGACCCAAAATGGTATTTTGGGCAGTTGCATGAGGCACCGGATAACTCTCCAACCATCCAGTGGTTGCTTCCACCATGGTGAGCACATAGCATTTACCTTGGCGGGTCTGTGGCAGTGTGATGTAATCAACATGCCAAGACTCCCCGTATCTATAACTTATCCCAGTGTTCACCATACCACAGGGGCTTCACTCTTTTTGCTTTTTTAATGGCAGCGCAGGTCTCACAATCATGGATGACCTGGGAAATAGTGTCCATGGTTAGATCCACCCCTTGGTCTCGCGCCCATCTGTAGGTGGCATCTCTGCCCTAATGGCCTGAAACATCATGTGCCCACAGAGCTAAGAACAACTCTCCCTTAGCTGCCAGTCTAGATCTACTTGCGACACCTTGACTTGTGCAGCTCAGTCTGCTTGTTTGTTGTTGAGATGTTCCTCATTAACTTGATTTTTGGGTACATGGGCATCTACATGGCGGACTCTCACAGTCAGCTTCTCAATTCAAGCGGCAATGTCTTGCCATAAATCAGCAGCCCAGATAGGTTTTTCTCTATGCTTCCAATTGATCTTCTTCCACCGATCCAGCCACTCCCGCAGAGCATTGGCTATCATCCACGAGATGGTGTAGAGGTGAAGCCTTGGCCATTTCTCCCGTTCAGCAATATCCAGGGCCAACTGAATGGCTTTGAGTTCCACAACTGACTCAATTCACCTCCTTCAGTAGCTTCCGCCACTTGCCGGGTGGGACTCCAGACAGCCGCTTTCCACTTCCAGTTTTTCCCTACAATACGACAAGAACCATCAGTGAAGAGGGCATAACGTGTTTCTTCTTCGAGTAACTGATTGTATGGTGGAGCTTCCTCAGCCCGATCCACTTCTTCTTCTTCTTCCTCATTGGCCAAACTGAAGTTTCCACCTTCAGGCCAATTCACTATGACCTCTAGGATTCCAGGGCAATTCGAGAAGAACCAAAAATAAAGATACTTCCCCACAACCAACGCTCTTCTCCCCCGAAGGAACTGCCCGACCGCTCCGCTCAGCTACCTGGAAAAGAAGAGAGCCCTTTCTTCCTTCCCGTCTTTTATGTCTGAGCTGACATAACATAGTATGGAATATCTTATTGGTAAAATATACATCGGGTGATCTATCCTAGTTCCATTTCCCTCTCAGAGACAGTAACAAACCCGTTACATCTCTCCATCCTAAAAGACGACCAGTTTGCTTCCAATCCTTTAGCCAGCTTTCAAACCACAGAGGTTGCTCCTGTAGTTCTGTGTGAATGCAGCTTCTTGAATATTCTGTAATGAACTTTGTCAGAGACTTGTGTCTACCAGACCCTCTTTGCTCAGGACACAACTGAAGCCATGCTGACTCTCTCCTAAGTCCGTGCTTGTCCAGGTGCTCAGGGATCTTAGTCTTTTTTATCGACTATTGCAGCACCAGGAAAGTAACTCAAGACTCCCTAATGTGTAGTTCAAAGGATTCCCTGGAGATCCCCTTTCCCACGGGCAGGAATTATGCTGCAGTCTGGCAGAAATGACACTGTTTGGAATGACACCTTGGGCACCATGGCAAGTGGTTCTGTAATTTCCCAATTGTGTTCTTCCTGAATTCTCAGATGACTGCCACCCTAGATACATGTTAGCATCGAATGTATTTATTTGGTTGTACATTCCTGTGTATTTTGTCCACCTTGATCCACCTTCTCTGACATCTCTGCTACAAGGAATATGCAAGGTATGAGAACCCCTGCAACATTTTATCTGGAAAGGCCAACACAAGTAATTCACTGAACTTCCCTTTCATAGTTCTATCAGTTCTGACTGTCCCTTTCACACTTGTGTTATCAGATGGACCCGCTGTCTCCCTGTCTGGCTTCCTGGTTTTGATGTATTTCGAATTCCTTTCCTATTAGTTTGAGCATCTTTTCTGTGGAGTTATTTAAATTCTGAGTGCTTCTAATTTTCTTTTTTTACAATTGAGCTGTTAGGCTCTAGGGCCGTCTCATGATGCAGGCAAGCTTTCAATTTTTGGTATATTTTAGAACAGGCAAATGGCTGCTTCTCTGTCACTGAAGATGACAACAAAAACTGAATGAAAAAATCCTAACAATCCCAAACCTAAACCACTTCCTCCAGAATAAAGCAGCAATTTCCCTTCAGAATAAATGGCAATGTGATTAAAATTCATGTATTTCTTTAAGAAAGTTATAAGAAGTGGTAGGTATTGGAACTTTTGATCACTGCTGTAGCTAACCAGCACATATGTGGGGAGAAGGAAGCCCACTGTGCACCAGCCTAGCACAAACCCTGTGTACCATTTAAATCCCACTTAATCCAACAAAATAGGGTCTAAGTGGGATTTAATTAGCAGAGAAGCCTACCATAGCCCTTGTGAGCTAGAGTGAATTTCACCTTTATATGTCAGCTGAACTTGACTGATTTGACATTCATTAGTTGAAATTTTACATATTCATCAGGCTGGAAGGAAAACATATTAATGCAGAGGGATTGTTGCCGAAGAAGAAAGAACAAATCCAAAAAAGCAAGTAAACTCTGGAATGTCTATGCCTGCATAAGGCTATGGCTCCTCTGAACACAGCTGGAAAGGGCTGCCTACTGCCACTCAGGTCTGTGGAAGGGATATGTAGGGCTGGCTGATGCATGCCCTCCCCACGGTGTGCTGGGGCTCAGGTCACAGGCTGGGCACATTCTTGGAAGGTTCTTATAATTTTCCGACAAAAGGGGTATTTCAGTCTGTGCTGCTCCTCTGAATGATGATAGAATATACTGAAGAGTAAAATGAACTTGCTTTCAAATTCATACAGAGAAGGAAGGGGTATATTTGTTATTTATACACAAAATTGCTTCAAAATGATTCACATATATTTAATTAACAGTTTTGTACTATGGATGCCAGGGGAATCAGAACCAGAACTATCAGCATTGTAACATCCTGATTTCAGTGATTACATTTAAAAAGAATGTCATTTGACTACGCAACTTTAAATCCCTGAGTCCCAACCAAAAGTATTTTCTTTTTATCATGCTGTTATAAAATGATTAGTTCAGCACAAATCACTCATCTGTTTTTGACAGATACAGGGAAAGTTAAAATGTACTTTTAAATTTTTGTGATTAAGCCAACAATTCCTGTTGGTGGAATATTCAAAATCATCAGACCATAAACATTCAGAATAGTGAGGATGATATCAGTGGCTGATAAAAAAATTGTCCTCTGGCACCTAGTCTGGAGACATCTTTTCTTTAGCTTGATTTTTAGTTGTCGTTCAAGTGAGTGCAGAAGTATTAGCAAGATTGGGTGCTAAATATGAAGAAAATTTAAAATAATGATTGTTTCTTTTGCCTGCCAACTACAATAATTCTATTAGACTTTAGGAGTGATGCCCAAGAGCAACTGAATTTTCTGTGCATTGAAGCTTTTTAATTATACAAAATATAGTATCACATTCCATGATGTCAGTATTATTTTCCTTTCCTTCTTTACTTTTTAAAACCAGAAGATGTTTTATTTAAAATCATACATTAGCACCTCATTAAAGTCGCAGTTTTTGAATTCACAGTAGTAAGATGCCAAACCAAAGATTTTGATAGTACAGCTATTTGAAAGCACATACGTCGATTTCAACAGGAGTTAAGACCGATCTAAGTATTTGAGTAGAAAATATGATGCTTTTCTGGCTTATTTCTCCAGCTGTCTTGCCATCAGGTTTTGCTCTCCTACATGTTTTCACAGCATAACTAAAGGCTTGCATTACAGAATGGAGGCAGAAGACCCACCAAGTTTAGCGGTTACAGAAATCACCTGAGATAAATAACTGCCTCTCCACTGAATATTACTCTGTTATAAACAACTTTCCACATATCAAGGCTCACAAGTGCCATGTCTGTCTGCAGCTGCAGAGTGGTGCCTAAGTCAAGAGGCAGGAGACACTTGCACTGGAGCTGTACCTGCTGCAATGCAGAGCTCGATGGATTAGTCTACCAGACACGGATACCCAAAAGAGGAAAAATTCAAATAACAAAAGGAGCTTTACTTTTTATTGAAAATGTAAAAATCATGTGAATCATGTACAATATTTTCTCATAAGGAAAATCTTAGCTGTTTCATAATGTTTCACAAAACTGTAAAACATTTAATTTTTATAAAGACTTTTTCATTAAACAAAGATAAAACTAAAGTAGTATTACAAAGCTATTTTCTAAATCATCTACAGAGAACTGAGAATGTTTAACAGAATAATTCATACAAGTGGCAAAAGAAATGATTCTTCCATTTGTAAATCTGCAAGAGGACACACAAAGGTATAGAGGGGCATGGGGTTGTTTTTTTTAAAAAATGTTCAAACTCAAGTGATGTGTTAAAACAGTACAGACATGGATTCATAGGATGGTATAAGTTCTAGGACTGTATTTCTCTACACTACCTCAAACAGTGCAACAGTGATTCAGTGTAAATCTCTACAGTGTTTCATTGATTCAATACTTGTGTTCAAGTATGTGTCCATGAGAATGATCAAAATCTCTACTTAAGCTATCTTAATTTTCTTGTTTATAATACGTTATAAGTTACAGTAGAATATCCCCTTCAGTATGTTTCTAAATCAAATGAACTAATTTCACAATACATTCTGTAATAAACTGTTCAATAATGTTAGCTTACTCACCTCAACATCTGTTGCAAAATACACAAGATCATTCTGACTCTGAATGTCAAAAATATAATAAAATTAAAAAGGGCTTTATTTCCATATACAACAAAACTATTCAGCTAAATTAAAATAAATTCAAGATAACATGACTTTTTTTTTCTTTTTGCAACAGAGATGACCCTACTGAAAATAAACATTTAAAATACTAGTTACTATTTTTTAAAAAAATTCTGATAATGCATTCAAAAGTGTTCATATAAAAATTAATTATGAAAATGTCAGAGGATAAAACATGTTGGCTGTCTACCCAAAACCATTAAGGATGTCTGGCAGGCAAAAATAAATTAATTTGATTAAATTATATGTCATCTGATAATATTTGGTCTGAAAAAGCGTGTGTGTGTGT